TAGGGTGCTGGAATTAACTGGTGTACTCCACTCTCCACTGGACCCTGACCCCGCTCTTTTTCTAAAAATTTTGGTTCAGGCCGGGCGGTGGTGGCGCATGCCTTTAATCCCAGCACTCGGGAGGCAGAGGCAGGTGGATCTCTGTGAGTTCGAGACCAAGCCTGGTCTACCGAGTGAGTTCCAGGACAGCCTCCAAAACAATACAGAGAAACCCTGTCTCGAAAAACCAAAAAAAAAAAAAAAAATTTTTGGTTCAGGGTCTCACTAAATTACCCAGTGTAGTAGGAATCTAGTAGACATTGTATCTAAGGTAAACATTAGAATGTTACAGTTGTTTCTCACTGTATAGGGTAACAGTTAAATGTATTAGTGTTTGTTGAAGGTACCTAGACTTTGAAGAAATCATGATAGATAACTGTGATTGTTTTCTATAATATTTTTGGTTTTGTTTTTCGAGATAGGGTTTTTCCATGTACCTTTGGAGCCTGTCCTGGAACTCACCCTATAGATCAGGATGGCCTCGAACTCACAGAGATCCGCCTGCCTCTGCCTCCCGAGTGCTGGGATTAAAGGCGTGCGCCAGCACCACCTGGCATTTTTCTGTGATTTCTAGAGTTGTTTTCTTAGGAGGTTTTCCGTCTGTTGCATGACTGTGATCTCACAGCCATCCAGGCACACTTGGAGGCCTTGAATTATTGGGTACTGCACACGGTGCATAATGACTAAAGCCTGTGGGGTGGTGAGGGTCTCCTACAGAGAACACATAGATCAAAGGCGCCTTGGCATCAGGGACTTGTTGTCCCCAAAGCTTTGTGCACAACCAACAAATATGTTTCTGAACAGAGGTTCGATGTTCAATTCACAGAAACTGTTTCTCCCTGATGCCAGAGAGTCTAAAAGTCGTTCTTGAGTGACCATCTTTGTCTGACCAACCCATGTAACCCTGACATGTAACCCATGTAACCCATGTAACCCATGTAACCCTGAACATCTGACAGCCTGGGCGCCTCTGAACTTGCCTCCTCCTGCCCCACCCTCCCGGTAAACTTAACGTGAGGTCTGGAGACAGAGCTCAGCGGTGGGACATTCTCTTTGCAAGCGGAGGTTCCAGTCCTACTAGTTTATCAAACCAAACAAATAACGGTTTCTTAAAACTTGGAAGAGGGCCGGGCGTTGGTGGCGCACGCGCACTTGGGAGGCAGAGGCAGGCGGATCTCTGTGAGTTCGAGGCCAGCCTGGTCTACAGAGAGAGTTCCAGGACAGCCACCAAAACAATACAGAGAAACCCTGTCTCGAAAAAACAAAACAACAACAACAAAAAAAAAACAAAACAAAACAACAACAACAACAAAAAAAAAAACCTTGGAAGAGGGGGCTGGAGAGATGGCTCAGAGGTTAAGAGCACTGACTGTTCTTCCAGAGGTCCTGAGTTCAATTCCCGGTGACCACATGGTGGCTCACAACCACCTTGAATGAGATCTGGTTCCCTCCGCTGGCATGCAGACAGAAGACTATATACACAATAAATAAATAAAATATTAAAAAAAAACTTGGAAGAGGGCTACACCAGTCACAGCACTTAGGAGGTAGAAGCAGGCAGATCTCTGAGTTCGAGATCTCTGAGTTCGAGTCCAGCCTGGTCTACAGAGTGAGTTTCAAGACAGCCAGGGCTACATAGGGAAACCCTGTCTCAAAAAAGCCATGGTGGCACATGCCTTTAATCCCAGCACTCGGGACGTAGAAGCAGGTGGATCTCTGAGTTCGAGGCCACCCTGATCTATAGGGTGAGTTCTAGGACAGGGTCCAAAGCTACAGAGAAACCCTGTCTTTGAAAAACCAAAAAGAAAACTAAATAAATGAAGTTAAAATTTAAAGACACATTTTGCCATACCAAGCCCCCAGCACTCTTTGTCCCACGAGGCTGCTCTCTTCCTTGTGGAACATCAAAGGAAACTGAGGCCTGCTGGTGGCCCTGACACCTGATCCAGTCACACTCAGATCTCAGAACCTTATACACAGACTCGGAAATCCCCCCTCCCCACTGGTCAGCAGATCTGGCCCCCAGTGTATCAAAGCTGCCCCCCCAGGACATCTGATATCCAGCGGATGGATGGAAGCGTGGGCTTGGCGTTCAGGGCTGCTGGACGCTGGAAGGACATCAAAGGCCATCAGGATCTGTTTGGACTCCCAGCCCATGTGCCCCACCCCGAGGGTCCAGGCAATGAGTCCTTCCTGTTAACCTTCCTGTTAACTTTTTTTTTTTGACCTTTGCCCAATTCCAAAGCCTTCCCATTCATGAAGAATTTAAGTGGAACCCATCCCCTCTGCTGGGCTCTTTATCTCCTGGATGGAGAGATCCCACATCCTGGGGGTAGTCCAGCTTTGATCCTGTCTGACCCGGAAGGCCCTGCTCTCAAACATCCTCACTGTGACACTCAGCTTTCAACCTGTCCCTGGTTGAAGTCACCAGTTTCCTGATGACTTCTCCAACCAGGGAGGCTCAGGGGAGGTGGGATAGAGAGTTGGGGCAGGGAGATCTGAGCTGAATTCAAAATGCCAAGAAACCCAGAGACACCTCATTGCTGCTGAGTCAGCTCCAGGACGCTGCTGGGGCTGAGTGCGCTGGCCCAGGCCTGCTGCCCCACACTCGATGGAGGGGCAGGAGGGGCAGGAGGGGCAGGGGTTCAAGGTCTGTCTTGGGTATGAAGGGAGTAACAGGCCATCCTGAGGCTGGGCCATGGCTCAGTAGCGACAGTTGTCCCAGCTTAAGCCAAGTTCTGTCTCCAGCATCTAAATAAATGGGACGTGGTGGCTGAGCCTTCACCCCAGCGTTCTGGAGGTCAGAAGTTCCAGGGAGGCCAACCCAGGTTACCACAGGAAACCTTGTCAGTAAATAGAGGATGTCTGAGGACTTGGTTAATGAAAAGACAGGAATAGAAATTAAACCCAGGTATCAGTAGTTACAGTCACTCAGCGTTGTCAGTCCTGTGGTCTATACCCAGGTTCCTGGCCTTCAGTCAGTGACCTGGACGAGCCTCAGCTGCCATTATCTGTGAAGTCTGGGTAAGAGCTGAGAATTACATACCAGCCTGAGGCAGACGTTCTCTGTGAGAGGCTGGCCTGTGGAGTGAAAAGAGTCACTCCTATTGCTAGCTATGCGTCTTTATCTCTCCCTGTCTATCTTTTAATCCCCTCAGGGCAGGAGCTGAGGCGCTGCCTGTAATCTGCTGTCCAACCCAGGCCAGGTCCAGAGGAGCCTGGAACAGCCCCTCCACTTCTGTAGAACTGGAATGGAAGTCTTTATATATCTGTTTATTTGAGACAGGTTTTCTCTGTGTAGCCCTCGTGGTGTCTTGGAACTCGCTCTGTAGACCAGGCTGGCCCCAAACTCAGAGATCCGACTGCCTCTGACTCCCGAGTGCTGGGATTAAAATAGTGATCACTTTTGACATATATTGTTGGGAGCACAGAGGCTCTTGGGCAAAGGAGGGAGCAGTCTCGTTTGGGACTTAGGGGTTCAGAACCAGGGTGTATGTCTCTAAATGCCCTGAAGGAAGGCTCACATCATCCCAGCCTCGGGAGCTGAGGTCCAGGCCGTTCACTTAAAATAAACGTGTTGGGCAGTTCAGTGTGTGGAGTGGAAAGCCTGGTTTCCAGCCTGAGGAGAGGGCGAGCTTGAGGCCAGCCTGGGGAAAGGAAAAAAAGGAATAAAATGTCCCGAGGAGGCGGCGGAAGACACTTGTCCCACTGACCCGTGGTCTGGGCCTGAAGGGTGTGGGAGTGTGCAGCACCTGTCCCTGAGTCACCAGAGGCCTGGCTTCCCTTTTCTTAGAGTGCTTCTCAGAACCGCCCAGTAAGTAGGAGTGAAACCCTGGCATCTGCCACGTGGGGCGCCTGGCACCAGCAGCCCTCGTTAAAGCCGAGCCCGTGTTACAGTGTTCCGCCCAACTATTACCTGTAATTAATAATTAATTAGTACGCGCGCCTCACTGTATCTCTGGAGGGTTATGGGATCACCCAGCTGTGTTCTCCGAGCCCCGGCTTCCAGTTGCAAACTGGCTGGGGCCCGAGGCGTGGGCGGGTGGCGGACGGACGACAGGGCGCAAGCTCTGTTCCCGAAGCTAGGCCTGAAATCCCTCAACCATGAGGCTGAGGTTGGAGGACTGAGAGCTGAAGGCCAGCCTAGGTTGTACAGGAACTTCAGGGCTAGCCTGGGCAAGTAATGGGACCCTGTCTCAAAACAGAAAGATAGGAAAAGTCCAGCGTGGGGGTACACGCCCCACGACCAGGAAGGGAGGCACCATCCTCAGCTGCACGATGAGTTTGGGGCTAGCCTGGGCTACACGAGACCGTGTCTCAAAACAAAAAATTTTCAGTTTGAAAGGATGAGTTTGGTTACTCCCAGCGCTCTGGAGGTGGAGGGAAGCAGGAGGTACGGAGAGCAAAGGCACCGTCTATTACACAGGGATGTCAAGGCCAGCCTGGGCTACGGGAGACCCTGTGCTAGAAAAAGAAACAAAATATTTTTTAGTCAAATAAATAAAAACACTGCCGGGCGTTGGTGGCGCACGCCTTTAATCCCAGCACTCGGAAGGCAGAGGCAGGCGGATCTCTGTGAGTTCGAGACCAGCCTGGTCTACAGAGTGAGTTCCAGGACAGCCTCCAAAGCCACAGAGAAACCCTGTCTCGAAAAACCAAAAAAAAAAAAAGAAATAAATAAAAACACAAAGAGAAGAAAAGAAGGGAAGAGAAAAGAAAAGAGAATAAGAGAAAGAGAAGAGAAGAGAAAAGGAGAAACTGCGGTGAAGAAAGCTGGACACACACAGTGCGGCGTTAGGGCCGCGGGACTGCGGCTCCGAGGCCACGCCCCCGCGTGCTGATTGGGCGACCTGCCGAGGCGCGCGTCCCCGATTGGCGAGCGCGGCCGTCGCTCCGCGGCTCCGCCTCGTCGGGGGCGGCTTCGGGGAGCGGCGGCCGCCGAGGCTCGCGGCGGGGCGGCTGTGCGGTGCGCGGGGTCTGCGGTCGCGATGTCGCCGCCGCCGCCGGGCGACGCGGGCCCGGGTCCGCCGCGGACGCTGTCCCTCGCCGCGCGGCTGAGCTTCGCGGTCGGCCACTTCCTGAACGACCTGTGCGCCGGCATGTGGTTCACCTACCTGCTGCTGTTCCTGCACTCGGTGCGCGGCTACAGCTCGCGCGGCGCCGGGCTGCTGCTGCTGCTCGGCCAGGCGGCCGACGGGCTCTGCACGCCGCTCGTGGGCTACGAGGCCGACCGCGCCGCCTGCGCGCGCTGCGGGCCCCGCAAGGCCTGGCACCTGGCGGGTGAGCCGTCCCCCTCCGCCCCGGCCCCGCCCCGCTGTCACCCCGGGACCCCGGTGTCTCCTCGGGACTCCCGCTCCCACCCAGACTGTCGCCTCGCTGTCTCCCTCTCACTGTCCCGGGTTCGGCTCTCCCAGACTGTCATCCTGGCCGCGCTCCTTTCTTCCAGGGCTGTCCGGGGTCTAACCTCCTCCCCCTGCCTCCCCGCCTCCCGTCCATCCCGCAGCCGCCTGCCCTTCACCCCTCGTGTCCCGTCCGGGGTGGCCCAGCCTGCGGTCCCCTCTGCCGTTACTTTGGTGTGTCCATCCCTACCATCCCGGCCAGCCGTCCCGAAGGCTCCAGCCCTGCCCCTGGGGTGGTGGTCGTGGAGCCACAGCCCTGCCCCTTGGCGACACTTTTGTGAGACAGAAGCCGCTCCTGCCAGGAGGCTGGATTTTCTAGTTTCTCAGGATTGTTCTAGGCTGTAGACCCAAAAAGATTCCAGGGCAAGAAGAGGAAGGCGGTGGTAGCCTGGTGTGGGCTCTCAAGGCACAGCCTGGCCACCTCCCATGGTATTCAGAAGCTGAGGCAGGGGGATGGCTACTCTGGTTTCCAAAAGAGAAAAGAAATACTCACAAGGGCTCATGTTTACCTGAGCCCGTGCCTGGGGTCCCCAGGACCCCATCACATTGGGGCAGACTGGAGAGGCGCCCAACCGGGTGAGGCAGGTGGACACCCCCAAGCTCCCAAAGCTAACCGCTTCTCGATGCCTCCACTCTCTGGCTGGCCTGAGCTCCCTCTGCAGCTCAGGCTGGCCTCAGACTCAGTAACAGTACAGTGCGCACCACCGCGCCTGGCAGATGAGCTCCTTAAACCTGAGCTTTCTCCCGCTTTGGGTCCCAGAACTCTTAGCTTGAGAGGCCAAGCTCCCCCCTGCAGCTGACCAGCCCAACCCTGGCTGGGCCAATGGTTAACCAGGCCCCTGAGAGAGCAGGGTGTGGTGTGGTCATGGGGGAGAGTCCAGAGGCCACACAGCCCCCCTGGGGCAGCCCCTAGGAATCTGCCCTGGTCCCCTCCCGAGGGTTGGTTTCATTTCTCAATCCAAGACATGTGGGGTGGTGAGGTCATCTCCGGGTAGGAAGGGGAAGTTGGAAACCCAGTGCCAGGCAGAGAACGAGGCTCAAGAGTCATTTCTGGTGGTGCACCCCTTTAATCCCAGCACTCTGGAGGCTGAGACAGGAGGATCAGGGGTTCAAGGCCAGCCTAGGCTATGTGATACCTTTTCGCTCCTCCAGACAGACTGATGATGTCTCTCTGTGGACTGTAGAGAGACCCCTGTTATTAACCCACCTGGGACTTGGGGCATGTGTGCCAGCCCCAGGGAGCCTGTGGTCTGGTTGGAGAGCAGGAGTCCCTGGGTGTAGGTGTGACCACCCCGGGTCTGCAGACCCCGCAGGGCCGACAGTGGTGGGTGTGAGGGGGCAGCTGGGGCCTGGGTCCAGCACAGGAGGCCCCGTGTTGCGGCTGGAGCAGGGGCAGGACCTGGTCGGGATGGGTAGCAAGGGGAGGATCTTGCATTCCTTAGAGCGTCCTTTTCTGAGGGCATGGAGCCGGATGGGGTGCCCAGTGTGTTCTGGGCAGTGGCAGGCTCCTCCTGCCCTTTCTCCGCTCTAGTCACAGGCCCCTCACTGCATCAGGGAGATCCCTGGCTCTTGCTGTGTTCCCCAGTTTTCCATGTGAGCGGAGAGGGGAGGCCGGGGCCCGTCTGTTTGGTTTGCCTGCCTCTCTTGCCCCCTAACGTCTCCACATGTCCCCTCTGCCGTCCTAGGCACCGTCTGTGTCCTGCTGTCCTTCCCATTCATCTTCAGCCCGTGCCTCGGCTGCGGGGAGACCACCCCCGAGTGGGCTGCCTTGCTCTATTATGGACCCTTCATCGTCATCTTCCAGTTTGGCTGGGCCGCCACTCAGATCGCCCACCTGAGTCTCATCCCAGAGCTGGTGACCAGTGACCATGAGAAGGTGGAGCTCACAGCCCTCAGGTACTCCGGGGTTAGGGATGGTCGTCTCGCTAGGTTCCTTGGGAAATCGTGTATCTGTCAGCTACAGCTGTGTAACAGCTGAGCGCCAAGTGAGCCACAGAGGAACACAGTGTCCTCTTGACTTCACATTCTTTTCCTTTTTTTTTTGTTTTTCGAGACAGGGTTTCTCTGTGTAGCCTGGAACTTGCTCTGTAGACCAGGCTGGCCTCAAATTCAAGAGATCTGCCTGCCTCTGCCTCTTGCATGCTGGGACTAAAGGTGTGTGCCACCACCTGACTCATTTTTTTTTTTAAATAAAAAATTTGAGTTTCTTACTAAGTTGTCAGGCTGACCTTGAACTTGTGATCCAGAGTAGCTAGGATGGCAGATGTGCACCAGCCTGGAGCATGGCTATAGAATTTGAGGCATTGGCTTGATGGCTCTCTGAGGCTGGCAGAATGGTCTGTGACCTAAGGCCAATGTCCTCAGGTCACCCGATTAGGCCAGGCCCTCTGGGGACACGCCCCCCAAAGGAGCCCCAGAGCATCAAGGGCCTGACTGTCCCCTCGGAGCCCTTAATTCTTTAGGGGGTCTGTGGCCCGTCCTTCAGGACACTGGCGGTGTGGGACGCTGGGGGCGTGGTGACCATCCCCAGCAGCTTGGAAAGTTAGGAGATGGTGCTCTGCATCTCTGGTAGGCAGAGGCATTTATTGAGCACTTGCTGTGTACCAGACACGGTTTCTGTGGACCCCGCTTGTGCTGGGGCGGCCCCTCCCCCGCAGGTACGCGTTCACTGTGGTGGCCAACATCACGGTGTACGGCGCCGCCTGGCTGCTGCTGCATCTGCAGGGCTCCTCGCACGCTGGGCAGGACGTCAGCGTGGGCGACCAGCTGGGCGTCCAGGATGTGTCGGTGTTTCGAGTAAGTTGGGGCTGCGTGGTCACCCCAGGGTCCCCAAGCCCGTGGGAGCCACGGCTGACCCCTGCTGTCCTTTTCAGAACCTGGCCCTGATGGTGGTAGGCGTGGGAGCCGTGTTCTCCCTGCTCTTCCACTTGGGTACCAAGGAGGGGCGGCGGCCCTGGCCCCGGGGGACGGAACCTGATGAGCAGAGCCCCCTGGTGGCCCCCACGGCCAGGCCACTGCTGCTCTGGAAACACTGGCTTCGGGAGCCAGCTTTCTATCAGGTGAGAAGACACCAGAGCCACCAGAGGGGACGTTACTAGTGGATGTCACAGCCCATGCCCACGGCAGGCATTACTAATCAACCTTGTATTTTATACCCAGGGCAGGCATTACTAATCAACCTTGTATTTTATACCCAGGGCAGGCATTACTAATCAACCTTGTATTTTATACCCAGGGCAGGCATTACTAATCAACCTTGTATTTTATACCCAGGGCAGGCATTACTAATCACGGATTTCTTCCCCCTGGGCTTCTGGGCAGTCAGCTGTAATGAGTCAGTGCCCACTGTGGAAGCCCTCAGCTTGTTCTCCAAATCCCTGGCTGTGGGGTGCACTGGGTCTCCCACTGACCCCTGGCTTGTCCCCCTGCTGATCCGCCCGCAGGTGGGCGTGCTGTACATGACCACGAGGCTCATTGTGAACCTGTCTCAGACCTACATTGCCATGTACCTGACCTACTCTCTCAGCCTACCCAAGGTGCGGTAGGGTGGCGGCCGGGGTGGAGATGGGCGGCCCCACCTGGGAGGCGCCGCTGGACCTCTGCGCCTCTCCCTCCACAGAAGTTCATCGCCACCATCCCCCTGGTGATGTACTTGAGCGGATTCTTCTCCTCCTTCCTCATGAAGCCGGTCAACAGGCGCATAGGGAGGAATGTGAGTGGCGGGTGCTGCTGGCGGTGGGCGGGGTGAGGACACCCCGGGGCGGACCCACACCCCGGGAGTCAGACCGCGGCCTGAATCCCACAATCCAGGCTTCTGGGCAGCCTCAGGCCGCAGCTCTGGAACCTTCCAGGCTGTTGCAGCCTGGTTGGCTGTGGTCAGGACTGCCCACCCGCATGTGGAATGGAAAACTGGTTAGCAAACGGAAGGTTGACTAGTAACGTCTGCCCTGGGCTTGAAGCACCGATGCCCGTCTTGGGTGTGGAACAGGACGCACTTTGGTGGGCCTTTCCCCGGGCTGAGGACCAGAGGGCCGGCAGTGCCCAGCCGTGCAGGCCTGATGGAGGCCGTGTCTCTTCCTAGATGACCTACTTCGCCGGGCTGCTGGTGATCCTGGCCTTCGCAGCCTGGGTGGCCCTGGTGGATAAGCTGGGCGTGGCCGTGTACGGGGCAGCTGTGCTACTGGGTGCGGGCTGCGCCACCATCCTCGTCACCTCCCTGGCCATGACGGCTGACCTCATCGGCCCACACACGGTAGGGCTGGCGGGAGGAGCCTCTGCAGGCTGTGGCGGGGATCCTGGGCCTGGGCGCTGACCCGTGTGTGTCCTCAGCACAGTGGAGCCTTCGTGTATGGTGCTATGAGCTTCTCGGACAAGGTGGCCAACGGACTGGCAGTCATGGCTGTGCAGAGCCTGCATCCCTGCCCGTGAGTCCCCTTCCTCAGACTGGAAAAGGCACACCCTTTCTTCCACGCTTGTTCAGTCAACGAGCGCCGGGTTCTCCCGAGCTGGGCGGGAAGGGCCGGGCTGCAGCACCCTGAGCCGCCTGGGCCCCTCACAGTGGGCTTCCTGAGCCACCCAGCCGCCCTACTGGCCGGGGACAATGGCAGCTGTGCCGCTCAGGGCTGACGCAGGAGTGGGCTGCGTGCGGGCAAGGGAGGTGCAGTTTCAGGGGTTCAAGGTCGGGCCGGGGCACGGAGGGTTTCTGAGAGCCTGAGCTGTTCAGGAGTATGGTACACGGCTGAGGGCCACGGCTGCCGGGAGCTGTGTGTGTGTCTGTGTGTGTGCCTGTGTGTGTGTCTGTGTGTGTGTGTCTGTGTGTGTGCCTGTGTGTGTGTCTGTGTGTGTCTGTGTGTGTGTGCCTGTGTGTGTATGTTTGCTTGTGTGTGTGTGTCTGTGTGTGTGTCTGTGTGTGTCTTAGTGTGTGTGTCTGTGTGTGTGTGTCTGTGTGTTTGTGTCTCTGTGTGTGTTTGTGTCTGTGTGTTTGTGTGTGTGTGTCTGTGTGTGTGTGTCTGTTTGCTTGTGTGTGTGTCTGTGTGTGTGTGTCTGTTTGCTTGTGTGTGTGCCTGTGTGTGTCTGTGTGTGTGTGTGTCTGTGTGTGTGTCTGTGTGTGTGTGTCTGTGTGTGTGTGTGTTTGTGTCTGTGTGTTCGTGTCTCTGTGTGTGTATGTGTGTGTTTGTGTCTGTGTGTTGTGTGTGTGTGTCTGTGTGAGTGTGTGTGTCTGTGTGTGTACCTGTGTCTGTGTGTGTGTCTGTGTGAGTGTGTGTGTGTCTGTGTGTGTGTCTCTGTGTGTGTGTCTGTCTGTGTGTGTGTCTGTCTGTGTCAGTGTGTGTGTCTGTGTGTTTGTGTCTGTGTGTGTGTGTGTTTGTGTCTGTGTGTTTGTGTGTGTCTGAGTGTGTACCTGTGTGTGTTTGTGTCTCTGTGTCTGTGTGTGTTTGTGTCTGTGTGTTTGTGTCTCTGTGTGTGTGTGTCTGTGTGTGTGTCTGTCTGTCTGTCTGTGTGTGTGTATGTGTGTGTTTGTGTCTGTGTGAGTGTGTATGTCTGTGTGTCTGTGTCTGTGTGAGTGTGTGTGTCTGTGTGTTTGTGTCTGTGTGTGTGTTTGTCTCTGTGTGTGTGTCTCTGTGTGTGTGTGTGTCTGTGTATGTGTGTGTTTGTGTCTCTGTGTCTGTGTGTGTTTGTGTCTGTGTGTTTGTGTCTGTGTGTGTGTGTCTCTGTGTGTGTGTGTGTCTGTCTGTGTGTGTGTCTGTGTGGTCTGTGTAGGCCCAGGGTCCCCTGGACTTGAGAGGGAGGGCTGCTGCAGAGCAGCATCAGAGCGCCTTCTGTCCCCTAGCTCCGAGCTGTGCTGTAGGGCCTGTGTGGGCTTCTACCACTGGGTGATGGTGACGGTGACCGGCGGCGTGGGTGTGGCCGCGGCCCTCGCTCTGTGCAGCCTCCTCGTCTGGCCCATTCGCATTCGCGCCCGTACCCGTGAGTCTGCCTCCATTGCTGCAGCTTGGGTGTTGGGGACGGGCTCCAGGCTGGGGTGGGGTGGGGTGCGACCCAGGACCCGCCCTTCCCAACGCCACCCTACTTCTCATTTTCAGGGGACCCCAGAGACCGGCCCTGACCCGGCTCCCCGGGGCAACGCGAGGAAGGACCAGACAGACACCCACCCTGGTCCCCCTGCCCCCACCTGCTCGGGGCCGGAGGGCACGGTGTGCGGGTGTGCGGGCCCCGTGGGTGGGCGGGCCCCGGAGCAGGGACGGAGGCTGCGACCTGGGTCAGCCCGCGGGGACCGGGGGCCGGGGGGTGGGGAATAAAGCGCGGCCGCGGAGGCTAAGGACAGACGCCCCGGGCTGTGTGCGTGGGGACGGTCGCCGGCCGACGGGGACGCGGAGGCTCGGGTTGGCAGCAGGGCTTTATCAGAGCGAGGGCGTGAAGGCCGGGGGTGGCTGGCCCGTGGCCGGGCAGGGGCGATCGCCACCCAGGTGCCTGAAGTCCTGCGAGGTGTAGCGCGGCCGCTGCGGCGGCGACAGGTAGGGCACGTAGTCGGACCGCCAAGGCAGCTCTGCCCCGAACTGGTTCCTGTTGACCGCTGGGGACAGGGAGTGGCTCAGAGGCTGACGCCGAGGGACCCTCTGTATGCTGGCCTCGTCCCCACTCAGCCGCCCCCTCCACCTGCCGCCAGGCTGCAGTTTTTTCCCTTCCCCTGTTGTATGACACAGGGCCTCTTCAAGTTTGACACCGTGTAGCCCAGGCTGCCCCCGGGACTCGCGGATATCCTCCTGCCTCTGCTGCACCTGCGCCCCGACTCCCCCCCTCACCCCGAAGCTCACCGAACTCCTTGCCGCGGATGTGCCTGTCCCTCCAGGGCACGCACCCCCAGCGCGTGCCGGGGCTGAGGTACTGCGCGGGCAGCGTGGGGTCCCAAAAGGCCGTCTCCCGCAGGTGCTGCGTGTAGGCTGTGGGGAGGCGAGGGCTCCCGTCAGAGTGGGACCCGCTGGTGCGCACGGCCGGGGGCGCCACACTCACCGGTCGGCAGGCTGCGCTGGCGACTCTTGAAGCAGCCGTGCCAGCGCGCGTGGGCCTCGCGGTACGGGCTGTCGAGCGCGCTGGGCAGCATGTACCAGGCCTCGCGTGGTTCCGAGTTGGTCAGGCCGGTGTACCACACCTGGCCAGCTGCGTCCCGTCCCATGGGTGCGAACTTCCAGCGCACGGCTTGCTGGATGGCTGGTGCCCAGCGGGCGCCCTCCATGGACAGGTAGTCATTGCTGGGGGAGGACAGGGACTGAACGCGGGCGGACGCCCTGCTGCCCCAGCCCGTCTCGCGGACTCTCTAGGGTGTCTGCGGGGCGATGGTCACTCTGCCTCTGCCCAGCGTCTCCGTGCACTTGCCCGCCTGCAGCGCTATCTCATGTAGCCGAGGATGGCCCTGCTTGTTTCTGAGGCAGCGCTCATTGTCAGTGTGGACCTGGCAGCAATCCCCCTGACTCAGCCTCCCAAGTACTTGTATGGCAGGCATGAGCCTGGCTTCTGGGGACTGGAGGGGACTTAGCCCGGCTCATGCTTCCCATAGATGGTGCCCAGAGCAGGGTGGCAGGGGCGCTTGCCGAGGCCCGGCAGTGACAGGGTTAAGGAAATGCAGTGGAGAAGAGGTTGTGGCCTACAGTTGGGACTGTCACCAGCTCCACAAAAGGCTGGGGTATGAACAGGCCTGCGAAATGGGATTTTCTTCCTGGGTGGCACATTCCCTCGCTCAGCATGCCAAGGCAGGAAGATCATTGTGAATTTAGAATAGTTTTGACCACACAGAAATATCCTGTGCAGCGCGATGGCACATTCCCGAAGTCGTGGAGAAAGGGCAGGAAGGCCACAAGCTCAAGGTCATCCTTGGCTACATGGTGAGGCTGAGGCCAGCCTGTGCTACATGAGACCTCAATCTCCCCACCACGCTGCTCACACGCACAGACCTGTCACACATACCACGGGGAGGTGGAGGGAGTTCCATTGTTGAGCCTGGTAGCTTCCAAGCTGGGTGATCTGAGGCTGGGGGCTTCCCTTCTTGGGAGTGGGGGTGTGCATATGCCTGAATCCCAGCCTCCTGGTGTCTGTGGCGCAGCCACCCTGACTGAGGTTGGGGGGAGGGAAGCTGGTGCTCAGGCAGAGGGGGGCGCCGGATGCAGGGACCCACCTGTGTAGAGGGGCAGGGAAGTAGCGTTCCAGGGTGCCCGAGGGGACATAGGGCCGGGCCGCCTCCCGCCTCAGGTTTTCCATGTCTGCCTCTGTGCTCCCAGAGGCTCAGATGACCAAGGCCCTAGGACCATTGTTGACAGGGACAAAGGTGTCCCGGCAACAGGGAAGTGGGCAGCCACAGTCCCCATGACTCCCACACACGTCCTAGTGTGGGCCTGGGGCTCCTGCCAGCTCCCTACATGGGGACATCCAAATGTCCCTCAGCTCTTCCCGTCCCACTGCCAAGCCATGCCCTCCTTGTGCCAAGGTGGCGACAGCCTGCCCTCACCCCACGCTGGACACCCAGAGGACGGAACCGTGCTCAGCAGGGCGGCGTGAGCCGGTGGGACCCTGCTGGTGATGGGTGTACTCCGGGGACCCTGAGGGCATGAGACCCAGAGACAATGGCCACATAGTGTGGGCTCCAGGACAGGAAATGGATTTGCGGGAGCTGTGGTTGGGGCCTGCCTCTTTGGACCTAGAATGTTCTTGAGTTAGGGGTGATTGTTATATAACTGACTTCCATAACTGAGTCCAGCAGTACATTGATAGTACATTGTATGTTTTGTGTATTTTACTACAATAAACAAACGTCAACACGACCAAACTCAAGAGTTCTTGGTGCACAGTCCACTGGGCAGAGGCAGTGCCTGCATCTGGGGACTAGGGTCCACCTGGATCCTGTTTCCACAGCACAGACAGCAACTGACTCCCTCTGGTCACCTGCCGGGTCCTCTCTGGTCTCTGATGCTGAAAGGCTTTGTGCAGTGTGTCCAGCCCAGGCTGTAGACGAGCACAGCACTACCCTCCACTCAGGACTGGGGCACACAGCAAGACGGCCTCTGGGTCCCCTGACTAATGACCCTGGTAGGCTTTTTCCCAGGGACAGCACTGCAAGTCATGTGATGGCGAGAGCCTGGACCACCACCACCTGCTTGCAGTTCTGGAGGGCTCTGTGGGGCTGGGCTCTGGGCTTCCTCCTCTACCCATGATGCTCCAGGTCTGTCCCTTCACAACTCGGCTAGGCAAGGCGATAGGACCTTGCTGTGCCCTGCCCAGGCTCCCTGCTGACCCTCACCCTTTACACGGCTGTCTGTCCGCTGGGGACCAGCCTCTGTTACAAGTGTGCTGTTGGGGTATGCAGGGCAGGTGACATCAGAAATCAGAATGCAAACTGCATGTGGCCAGCAGGGATCCCACCAGCAGCAGGCAACAAGTGGCCCTTTGTACCAGCACACAGCTGAGGGCCCACTTGGGCACTCTGCTTTAGGTGACAGGGCAAAGACCAGACTGTGAGCAGCACCTCTTGCTGGGGAGCATAGTGCCTGCCGCGGCCAGCAGCACCTGACTGCAGGCCACACCCCAGCCCTGCGGGCAGCAGACCCCACAGTGACCCATGTCCCAATGGCCAGCGGCTTCTCCAGCCATCAGTGTTGGAACATGGCAACAAAACACACAACAGACCCCAAGGCATCACAAATACATATATACACACGTGCACACATGACAGGCCGCAGCCACCACACCAGGGATCTGCAGTGTCCCTGGGTTAGGAGGAACGGCAGAGATGGGGTCTGAGGTCAGGAAGGCCTGGGAAGCTTCCAGGAGGCCAAGAGGAGAGGAAGTGGACAAGGCAGACGAGGCAGCTGGCTGGGGAGAGGGCGAGGAGACACGCAGGGGTTACAGGAGGCGCACACGAGACACTGTGGCAATGCAATCGGGGTGTCATAGGCGGGAGACGCAGGCCCCCACCAGCGCCTCCCAGGGTGTTCCGGCTTGGGTGGCCGCGGTGGCCGCAGGGAGGGGCACAATGGCTCTGGTCCACAGGTCCCCAAGTGACACTGGGTTTGGGGACTGGAAGGGATCTCAGGTCTCCTGCTCAGCTGTGTCCAACATGGCTCGGGCAGTGGTGACTGGGAGGTCTCAAGTGTCCATGTGGGCGCTGGCGGTCAGCAAGAAGGGGATGCAGCTGGTGGCTGAGGGTCCCCATGTCCCTGTCCCAGACACTGGCTCCACAGCTCACAACGAGGCATTTAATGAGACTCTGGGGTCTCCGGCCCGGCTCCCGCCCGCCAGATGTCTCTGGGGACTGCGGGACAGCAGGGCCATGCTTGCCGACTACTCCATCTCTGCCCTGTGGGGCTGCGCATCTGCCGGCCCGCGGGTCTATCGGATCCGAGTGAAGAGGTTGAGCACAGACACGGATTCCTGGGAACAGGGAACATGAGTGACTATGTGCCAGGGTGCTCGGAGAACCCAAGGGGCGTGACAGCATACGTGGACACCCATGTTACCTTTGTAGAGCGTGTTTTGCTGAAAACATTCCAGAACCGCAGGGTCTCGTCTCCGGCCCCGGTGACAATGGCCTCCCCGTCAGGAGACATTGCCTACAAAGAGGACAGAAGGACCCTGGTTGTTCTCCAGCTGCAGCAGGCAGCTTGGAGATCCAGGCAGAAGCCAGGCAGGTGCCACGGGACACAGACGTTGGCCACGCAAGGCCCCTACAGCAGTGGGTCTGATCCCTGGGTTCCCAAGCTGGGCCAGACACAGCTGAGTGTACGGGGCAGCCAGGGACACTGACACTTTTGTTGGGACAGAGGTCTGGCGGGGAAAGTTCCTCCACATCCTGCATCCCACTTGGGGGACACGGGTTAGTGGGAGTTTTGCTCCGGGGACTAGGAGCGGACAGGAGGAAGGCTGGGGCCCCCAGCCAGCCAGAGACACACGGAGCCCCAGGGGCTGACACTCACCAAGTAGAGCACACGGTATGAGTGGCCAGTGAGCTTGGCCACCTGCGTTAGGGACGGGTATTTCCATACGAGGATCTGGTTCTGGGAGTAGCCATGCGTGCTCACCTAGCGCAGACACTGGGTGTTAGAGCTGCAGGGCTTGGTGCTGCTTTGGGGGAACCGTCTGCACCCCACATGCCCACCGTGGGCGCTCACCAGCTCGTTCGCATCCCCCCATGCCCACCGTGGGCGCTCACCAGCTCGTTCGCATCCCCCCACGCCCACCGTGGGCGCTCACCAGCTCGTTCGCATCCCCCCATGCCCACCGTGGGCGCTCACCAGCTCGTTCGCATCCCCCCATGCCCACCGTGGGCGCTCACCAGCTCGTTCGCATGTTTGGACCAGGCCAGATTGCACACTTGGGAGCCGGTGTCAATGCACTGTAGCGGCTGGCCTGTCAGGGTGTTCCAGAAGCGGATGCAGCGGTCGGCTGTGCCACCACCGGACGCCAGCAGTCCATGCTGGTGTGGGGACCAGGCAATGGCCTTCACGGCGGCCAGGTGCTCTGTGTACTGCTGCACGGGGCTCACAGTGGAGTGGTTCCACACCAGCAGCTGACGGGAGGAAGGAAGGCCGAGCTGTGACCGCAGGCTGCCCCGGGCGCGAGGCAAGCACAGCCCTGGTCACCAGGATCCCATGGGCCGGGAACACCCAGGCCATGACCTGTGCACCCCCTCCCTTGGTGGCCTCAGGCCACACCCTTGTCCCAGGCTCTATTGTGGACCTAGCTGAACAGCAGCAGGGACAGGCAGGTGGCCTCCTGGGGCAGGCGGGGCAGGGGTGACAGTGGCCGTACCTTGTTGTCATTGCCCCCTGAGGCGAGCAGCTGGTGGTCTGTGGACCACTTGAGGCCACACACCTCCTGCCGGTGGCCCTGCAGCCGCCGCTCTGACTGTAAGGGTGGTGTGCGGATGTCCCGCTGCAAGATCATTCGGTCACGGCTACCGGATGACAACTGGTCCGCGTTCCAGGCTAGTGCCCCTAGGAGGTGACAGGAGGGTCAGCCTAGGCCTGACCCAGGGCTGTGGGCTGAGGGCGTGGCTGGGCTGGCCGGGCGCTCACCCACTCTCGCTGTGTGGCCTTCCAGCACCGACAGCTTCTTCCCTGCAGCGGCATCCCAGATCTGCACGAAGCCTTTGTGTGTGCCCACTGCGACCAGGTTCCCCTAGGGGGACACAGTGGCCAGGGGGCCTTCAGGGGGGTGTGGGGACAAGGTCTACCCTTTTCCTGTCCTCCACCAGATGCAGGTGGTCTCTGAAAGCTCATTTCTTTTGTTTCCCTTTTTAAAACACGGGATAACTCTGTAGCACAGGCTAGCCATACACTCAAAATGTAGCCCAGGCTGACCTCAAACTCAGGGCAATCCTCTGGCGTGCTGGTTATACAGGGAACCACGACACCCACTACAAACTGCTTTGCTTAGCCCCTCGGGGCTTTCCCGGCAACGGCACCGTTCAGCCGTCAGGCTCCAGCCTGTGCTGGGCCTCTGCGACCCCGGCACTCCCGTCTTGGGTGAGCAGCAGCCTGATCAAAGGGTCAGGTGAGTTCTGCCCTTCCTGCTTCTATGGGACACACAGGTGACCCTGGGCGCTGCCCTCCGCACTCACCCGCTCAGACCAGCCCACGGAAGTCACTGAGTCCCCTTCCACGGAGAGGTCACAGAGCCGGGTCACCTGTGGGCAGGGCAGGGGGTTAGAGTGAGGGGACAGATGGGCTGCTTGTACCTTTCCAGTCACCACTCAGTCCGTGGGACCAAACGGCACAGATGGCATCAGAGGCTGGCAAGTTCACCAGTGTCCTGCGGCCACAGTGGTCCCTGCCTCAGGGCGAGGTGCTGTGTGTTTGGGGGAAGAGCTAACTTGGTGGCTCTGTACAGGACGCCCCCTCCTTCTTGTCCCCTCGCCTGTGGTCACAGTTCCTGGGCGTTCACCTGGCTGGTGCACGCGCTCCACAGGTACACGCAGGTGCCCAGCCCCACGCTGAGCACGTTCAGAGAGGACCAGTCCACCAGGTTGAGGTAGAAGTCGTCCTGAAGCTCCGGCGCATCCAGCACCTTGAAGGGAATCTTGGAGATCTTGCGCGTGGGCTTCCGCGGTGAGCGCAGCAGCTTTTGACTGCAGGAACAGCAGGGTGTCATTCGCTGCTGCCCTGACCCCATGTCCTTATCACCACCCAGGCACCGGGGACCAGCCTGGCTCACCTCTTGTTGCTAACAGGGGACAAGGAGTATGGGGACACGTCATTGCCGTCATCAGGACTTGAGCGCTTGCTGCTGAGGGAATACTGCCGGCAGAGACACCGTGCTGAGTGGCTGCCGTGGCCTCGCGACTTGAGAACCCCAGCACCCCCAAGGCTGGCACCGAAGGAGCTGGAGGTGCAGACAGACAGAACAGGTCCCCTGCCGGCCCCTCCCCGCAAGGGCTCCTGGCTGCCCCGGCTCACCGTGAAGAGGCCCTTGTGCTCGGGCGTGGACGGCTGCAGCCGCCGATCCTCCGTCTGCGGGTCCTGCACCTTCTCGATGCCCGCGCCCAGCAGCTCATTCTTCAGCAGCGCAGAGTAGGCCAGGCCATCTGCGGGCACAGGGCAGAGGCGGGGCTGGATGTGTCTCTGGGGGCAGAGCCCCGGGAGGGAGGCGCCGTGGAGGCGGGGCACACAGGGAGGCCAGACTAGCCGGGCAGGGCCCGTGCTGGGCAGGGCCTGTGGCGGGGCCGACCCTCACCTTTGCCGTTGTCTGAGGTGGCATCTTTGGCCTTGCGGTTCTGGCTGGGGGACTTCTCGTTCTCCTATGGGCGAGGAGCTTATGAGTGAACACG